TTCAATCTTTATGTGGCTTTTTCATTACTCTATTTCTTTTACTTCTATTTTTTCATTTTTTTGAGATAGGGTTTCTCTGTGTAACTTTTATCTGTCCTGGAATTAACTTTGTATAGCAGGTTTATTTTGAAATCACAGAGATCTGCTTGCCTGTCTCCCAAGTGCTGGAATTAAAGGTATGTGCCACCACACCCAAATACTCTCTTTTTATTATTCTTTTTTAAACCATTTTATCCTGTTTCTTTTTCTCTTTCAAGCCTACTATATCTTAAAACACACTGTAAATCTTTAGAGGTTTTTTCTTAATCTGAATCTGTCTTTACTGTAAATCTTTATCTTTTTCTGGCCATGAGTCTTTTATCTGCTACATAACAAATAAAAGCCATACCTGTATTAGCCTTGGTTTATCAAAGATGGCAGTGGGTACCTTTACCACCAGAACTGAGCTATGCTCACTGCCTTGGTGTATGCTACCATCCAGCAGCATGCTGCCAGCTTGGAGATGTGGTCATTGCCATTGTCAGCTCTCGTACACACCATTAAATTGTTAGTAGGGCTCTTTAATAGCCCTACATTTTTTTGCTGCTATGCTGAGTCAGGAAATCTCCCTTAAAGGAGCCGCACAAATCTCTGTCTCTAGCAAAACAGAGTGCAACTGAGGAAAATGGTGTTACCAAGAGGCCTTGTTTGTCTCTGTTCTTTTGTTTCTAAAACCCTTTTTTAAAGCTTAAGTTTTAAGTGGAAGTTCTTATTAGCCACGTTGAAGGCACCATTTTGTTATGAGTAGTTTTTCCAATCAGCTCGTAACAAAAGGGTGCCAGGAAGTTTTATATTATGTGATTCAGTTCAACATAGAGTACATGTAAAAGAGAACTTGGAGTGGTTAAACACTGACTTCTTAATAAATTAGGAATTTCTGTTAGTCCATATCAAAGACAGTATGGGTTGTTTGTTTGTTTGTAATTTGTTATGAGTGGTTTTTCTGCCAGCCTGGTCCCACAGCTGCACCAGCCCCAAATAACACACCAAGACACTGTATTAGATATAAATGCTGTTAGCCTGTTACTAGCATTTCTTATTGGCAGGCTGTCTTAAATATTAACCAATTTCTATTAATCTAAGTATTTCCTTGTGGTCTTATCTTACCAGAGAGAGGGCCCAGAGTTATACCCTGTTGGTCCTACATCTTGAAACTCCTCCCTACTTCTTCCTCTCTCCTCATAGTCTCCTAGTCCCATCTATCTTGCTTTCTGATTGGCCAACCAATAAGAGAAACATATTTACATAATGACATCTCCCATCAGTAATTCTTTTGAAGTAGAATTCAGTAAAAAAGTAAAAGTATTAGGTACTGATTTACTGGTGTAATTGGTGATTTACTTAAACTACTGCTTGCACAGCCTATTTGCCAAGCATGACTTCATTTTCTACCTGAAACAGAATGACTTAGAAAAATAGCTGTAAGAATAGATTGTTAACTTTAACAACCTGTTGACAGTCATTGCAGTTCCATAAAATCTGGCTGGCTTGTTTGTCCCATCTTGTAGTTTTAGAGTGTAAGAATGCAAGCTGCACTAAAGCCTTTCAGGAACTATCCTGCTTTGGTCCACTAGGGACATCACCTCTCTTTTTGCTCTCTGCTTATTCCAGAAAGATTTCAGAAACATTTCGTTGGCTCTAAAAAGACCCAGCCAAAAGGCCTAGTGGAACTTCCTGAGCCTGACTAGAGTTTGGTGACCTGTCTTTGGCCTATTACTTCCGCACAGGAGTGACTCAGCACAACTGCCTCTGCACAGCTACTGCTAATGTGATGAATGGTAAGTGACCATTACACCTCACCCATCCTGAGGTCCCCCACCCTCTTAACACTATATAAGCACATGCCTGTTACAATAAAAGGAGCTCCTGCTTTGACAAGACTCCTGAATCAGTGTGATTCTCTGGGATATGGATTGAAAATATTCTCCATTCCGCTCAGCCCCTGGAAGAGACCAGCTAGACCGGCCCTTCCAGAGCTCTACCTGCTGGCGGACCTGACAACATTTCATTTTACTTTTTAAATTTTTGTGTGTATGGCTTGTGCAGGTGCCCACAGAGGCTAGAAAAGGTCACCAGAACTTCTAGAGCTGAAGTTACTGGTGGTTGTCAGCTCTCTGACATAGCTGCTTATATAGTGAGATATCCACCCCACCCATACTTGTTGCTTTGACCACGCCTGTTTGGGCATGGCCACAGGTGCAGATGTGACAGTAGAGGCTGGTCTGGGGGCCTGGACCCCAGTTCGTTCTTTTGGTTCCGAGGGGTTCACAGAGAGCAGCCTGTATGTGGGTCCTTGGAACGGGAACTAGGTCATTGGTTTCCTGTGTAAGTGACTTCTCCCAGCTCTGATCCTCTGTCAGTGAAACCACCAACGTAGACCCCAATAATTTATTGGGGAACAAACTGTCAGGCTGCCCCAGAGGGTGGAGAACAGCAGCTTGGCCAGAAAAGTTTTGACAGTTTTATCAGGCAAGAATAATTAGAGGTGGCCTGCAGTCAGGAAAGCCTGGAAATTGCTGTGGGGACCTGAGGTAGGCTATTTAGGTTAATTGGAAACTAGGTGCACTTTGCCCAAGGTAGTTGATCATTAGGAGCAGAGAAGAGAAGTAGTGGCTTTCCTGACAAATAGAAGCCCATCTCATGTGATTTCTGAGGAGTTTAGTTTTTTTTTTTTTTATTATTATTAATCCAATAAGAATCTGTATGTTTACCAGGTAAGAATCCAGTCAGGTACCAGGCAGTGGTAGTGAGTGAGTGCCTTTAATTCCAGCACTCAGGAGGTGGAAGTAGGTAGATCTCTGAGTTTGAGGCCAGCCTGATCTACAGAGAGAGCTCCAGGACAACCAAAGTGATTGCACAGTGAAACTCTGTCTCAAAAAAATAAAAAGAAAAAAAAATCCAGCCTGGTTTGGGCATTGTCAGCAGCACTACCATTTTAGGGATCCCACTTTGTGTGACCTAATGCTGTGGCTAGCACTCTCATCTCTCCAGCCTCACATACAGTTTATCCCAAAGACAGAGCCTGGTCTTTTCAGGATTTGTCCTCTGAAGAGTAACCACCTTTGTCAATTATGGTACTATCCACCTTTAATCTGCAGAGGCAGGCAGATTTCTTCAGGCTTTAGGGTTTAAAGCCATCCAGAGCTACACAATGAGACCCTGTCAAAATAAATTAAAAAATAAAAAGACTAACCATTGACTTAAAGGGGCTGGCTGGTGTTCTAATACTGTGCAGGCCTGTTTTGCCTGGTATTCTTTATACATCCAAAGTTGGCTCAAAGTAACCCATTTGCCTCAGCCTCCTGAATGGTAGAATTATGTTATGTGCCACTACTCCCAATTTAATAAATTAATTTCTATTAGGAATGAGTTTCAGTGTGAGAATATTAAGTAATTCTGGAGATGCATAGTGGTGATGGCTGCACACTATGAATATATTTAATGCCACTGAATATAAAATTGCATTTTGGTTGTGAGCCTAGCCTTTAATGGCTGAGCCATCTCTCCAGCCCATAAAATTGCTTTTTAAATGGTTGAGTGTGGTCAAGCAGTAGTGGCACAGCCTTTTAATTCCAGCATTCAGGCTGGCCTCAAACTCACAGAGATCCACCTGCCTCTGCCTCCCCAATGCATGTGCCACCAACTTGTAGCTATCTCACTCTAAAGTTAAGGGAGAGTCTTAAACTTCTGATCATTTTACCTACTCCCTGCCTACTGCTGGGATTACAGGTGTTTCACCTCTCCCAGTTAGGTTATATATACTTCTGGAGATAAAACTCAGCACACCAAACATGCCAGGCAAGCACTATACCTGTGCTTCATCCCCAGTCCCATCTCCAACAACTTAAAGATGTCAACCTGAGAATCTTCAAGGAAAAAAGAACAAATCCACATTGTCCAATTAAAGCATTCTGTATTTTGGGGTGTACCAGGGACTGGCCAGCCTTCTGTCTCAGCATAAATTGGAATTTGAGAGAGCAGCCCTTTTATGGGAGAGCTAAGGTGTTCACCAGGGTAAGAGAGATGGCTGTTATACATTGTTAGAAAGACACAAAGAAAAGGAAGTGAGAACAAGGGTAATAGGGTTCACATGTGAATAATGTGAATAGAATTGCAGTGGGGGTAAATTCAATAATTGAAGAGGTTGCTGGAATGTATTCTCATTTCTCTGTATCTTTTTTTTTTTTTTTTTTTGGTGTAGCTCTGGCTCTCCAGGACTTCCTGCCTCCTTCCTCCTGCCTTGCCCAGAGGTGATAGCCCACGCCTTTAATCCAAGCACTCAGCAGGCAGAGCTCGAGTTCAGCCTGGTCTACTGAGCTAGTTACAGGCCAGCCAGAGCTGCTCAGAGAGAAACTTGCAAGGATTTAACATAGGACAAAGAGGAACTTACTCATAACTGTCTTAATTGCAAACAGAACCCTTAACCTGCAAGGTTTATTTTTCCTATTTTGGTCTCCCATGCACTTCCAGGTTTGGTCTCACAGTGTCTAAACGACTGAAAACACAGCACAGTGAGTTCTCAACAGATCCATACCGAGGTGGGTGGCTTCTGGGTAAACGCCCTTTTATTACAAATCCCGACTCTAGAAATGAAAATTTAAGCACTGCCTCTGTGGTTTTCTGCATGAATATTAACGTAAGATTTATTGTGGTGCATACGGGAATTGTGAGAGAATTATTTTAATGCCTGACCAAAGCTAGCTCGTCTAAACACAGGATCGTGTTCCAGGAAGGACACTTAATAGACAACACCTCCTCACCCTCGGGCTGTGACTTCCGTGCTCCGACCAGACCAAAAAATGGGTGGGTTGCATTAGTGCGCATGCGGCGCCCTGTTTCCCAGAGCGGCCTCTCTAGGCAGTGGGGAAGTCGCTTGGGGTTGCCAGTCTGCGGCGAAAGACGAACCTCTCCTCTATGGTCGAGGGAGCTGCGCATGGTGGACCCGCAGATCTAGGTTATTTCCGAAAGCGATGTGGGCTGCTTTCCCTCTGCTTCCGCAGGGCTCCTGGCGGGTGGCGGTGACCAAGTGGGTCCCGGGACTAGTGGCGAGGTGAGCTTCAGCATGGCGGGGATGGTAATGGGGCGGCAGGGCACTTGAGATGGAACGTGATCCGCTCCCCGCGGCTGGCTGGCATGGTGGCCCAGTCTCGCGGGCCTTTCCTGACTGGGCCTGGGCGCTGCAAGTGACCTGCAGGGCTACACACCCCTTTCCGAGCGAGGACCCACGCCGCCGCGGTTCTGTAGCCCTTGCTTGCCCGCGTGGGGTCTGTATCCCAGCCACTCGTCTCCGGGGGTGGCAGACAAAGGGATCTTGCTTCCACACACCTACAGGCTCGGGGTACTAGCCACGTCCGCTGGATCCTAAGCCTTCCTGTCCCAAGGCAGACGGTTTTAATGGGAAACACAAAAAAGGGAACTCAAACTCCAAAGTCACACTGGGCTGACCTAGAGCTTCTCTCTTCTCATTCCCATACTCACAGCTCAGAAATCTTGGATTAAAGGGAGTGTGTGTGAGAGAGGTGTGTGTGTGGGGGGTGTTTCTAACTGGGGTCTTTAGTTGGTCAAGGGGCAAACCCCTAATTTTGGTAGAAAAGAGAGTTGCCAATGGGTCATCCTCTCAGAAGACCATTGGTTCGTCCCTGGGGGTGGCCCCAAAGTCCCACCAGGAGAGGCCAATACAAAGGAGTTTTCCCTCTATATTTAGGCACACCCCAGAGCCCGTATGACTCCTAAGTGCCTAATGCAGTTTTGTGTGTTCTTGTCACTGCTGTCTTATAAACATTTTGAATGTGTCCTGACCCAAGTGCTCCGGGGTATGCTTGGATTTATCTTTCACAGACATGATTGGAAAACCGTACTCCTGTGCTATTAAACCCCCCCCTTTTTTCTTTTTCCTCCTGCAGTCAGCTATATCCTAACACTAGTCAACTATTCAGTAAAATTCGGCTATTAATAATCTTAATATCAGTCTATCATCCAGCAAAAGTTTTACAGTTTGGCATCTATTTCCAACAATGTTTTAACGTTGATACTAGTGTGGACTGATGAATGGGAAATGATGAGACTCAAAGAGAATAAAGGTGATCAGGTTTGGGAGCCTAGGTTACCCTCATTCTGAAGACTTCTTTTGGTTGTGCTTCTCCGGGGGTGGATTTGTGTGTGTGGGCGTGTGTGTGTGTGTGTGGGGGGGGGTAGAGTGGGTTAGTTTTGCTTTTATTTTGAGACAGGGTTTCTTTGTATTCCTTACTGCCCAGGAAATCACACCAGGCTTACCTCAAACTGACAGAAATCCACCTGCCTCTGCCTTTGGAGTGCAGGGATTAAAACTGCATGCCACCTTGCTAGCTTGTTTTGTTTTTGAACTAGAGTCCATGTAGTCCAGACTTGCCAAGGATAACTCTTGGACTTCTGATTTTCCTGGCTTTCTGAATTGGGTAACAGGAAATGCAGAAGGGAAAATGAAACTAAATTGACACTGGTGGTAGAATTTCCCTGTTTTGATTCACAAATTCATGATTAGGAACTGTGGCAGTTTTCCATGAGATTATAGATTTATATAGAACCTAGTAAGCAAGCAAGCACTCTACTAAATAGCCTTCAAGATTAGGTAACACAGATAAACCTTACACAGCTGCATATAGATACAGGAACCGTTAATTTGGAGTAGATTAATCATTATAGACTATTTGGATCTTGTTAGTGGATGCCTTTGACTTAGGCATCCTAATATGTGGGAGTGTAATGATCCACATAAGATACTTATTGACAACCATGTTGATTAAGCCAATTAAAAGTTTTAAGTTCTTTTAAAATAATGGCCAGACAAGGAGTGGTCTTGTGCCTCAGAAAAATGTCTTGGTGCCCAAGCTCAGAGATAGAAGTTTTTAAAGGTAAAAACCACAAAGACCATAATTTACATCAAATGTCAGAGAACCTTAAATGTTCATTCCTGGCAGAACATAGTAGCTATTTTAGTCATAATCTCAAATGTGTTACCAAGACAGTTAGTTGTGACCATCGGGGGAAAGGGGGCTAGAGGACTGAGAACAAACAATACAGTCAAGACAGGATGTCATACCTTAGTCATTTCAGGAGGAGTATATGAAAAAGCAACCAAGGAGCAGAAGTTTATTGGTGGGATTATAATTATAGTCTGTGAACAGAATGTAATCATAATAATAGAAGTAACATTGTCATGGAACCTACTGTGTGCTAGGAACTATTTTTAGTTGTCTTGAATAGCTGTGAGGCTGTATTGTTATTATCCCCATTTTACAAGTGAGGAAAGAAAAATGACTTGCCTGAGATTTTGCAGCTAATGGTTGAACTAAGATTTCACTTACTCATTCTGTCTGGCATTTGTGCTATAAGTGAAAAATGTTAGTCTGACAGCCAGGCATGGTGGTTTAACAAGCCAAGGCCTCATAGAACAGACTTTTAATCCCACCTACTTGGTAGACCGAAGCAGTAAGATTGCAAGTTCAAATCCTTAGTTAATGTGGATTAGGGCTGAAGGCCATTGCCTCTGTTGTAGAGTGTCTGTTTAGAGTATACAAAAGCCTGGTGCAGTTCCCAGCCCTAGAAAGGTTAGTTTACCATTTGGCCATGCAGATTCTTAAGTGAATATCTCACATCTGTGGGTTTTAATTTTTTTGTAGTAGGGAATGTTTTGTTGTGATACAGTTCCATGTATCACTAGCTGGCTTGAACTAAGGATGACATTGAAATCCTGGTTCTCCTGCCTCTAGCTCTTACCTGCTTGTATTATAGGCTTCTGTTATCAGATCCAGGCTAGTGGGGAATTTGATGGGAATTTTGCTCTAAGATGTTTCAATCATTGAAAAAGAGAGATTTGCAAAAAGAATAGGAAGTGGTATTTAAGTTTCACTTTAGCTATACTTTAATATGTCTAAAATATATTGAGGCATTTGCATGCAGATTACATGTAGTCCTAAACTTCCAGGCTCATAATAATCTTGAGAAGCACTTATTTTAGATTCATAGTCAGGTCCATATCCATGGAATGCATATCTACAAATTCAACAACAGGTAAGGAAAAGAATTTTTAATTTTTAAGTTAAATTTGGGGCTGGAGAATGTAATTCAGTAGTATAGTGTATCTAGCATGTACAGTGGTCCCGAGTTCAATCCTGGGACCTGCCAGAAAAATCTAGGAAGTCCCAGAAAGCAAAATTTGAATTTGCTATATGCTAAGCACTGTACTGAATCCAGAGGAATGAAGCTATATGCAGGTATGTACACTCTGCAATAGCTTCCTACCATTTCACAGATCCTCATTCCAACAGGATGGACATTATTTTGTTTTGTTTTTGTTTTTTTTCGAGTTTCTCTGTGGTTTTGGAGGTTGTCCTGGAACTAGCTCATGTAGACCAGGCTGGTCTTGAACTCATGGCGATCCGCCTGCCTTTGCCTCCAGAGTGCTGAGATTAAAGGTGTGTGCTACCACTGCCCAGCTAGGATGGCATTGTTTTACATGGTATTCCGTTTATGTGAACTTTGTAGTCTATCCTACTTTGGTTGTGAATATACTGAGCATGTTTCCCAATAGGTGACTAAGGGAGCTAGGAATTGATGGCACATGACTTTAATCCCAGTGCTCAGGAGATAGGCAGGTGAATCTACAGAGGAAGTTCCAGGACAACAAAGGCTACAAAAAAAACACTGTCTTCAAAAAACAAAAAAGAACAACAACAAAACTGAGGACTAAAGGATATAGGATACAGTGCATAGGCCACATGTAAACACTGTCTTTGCCCAGAAAGGATTTGCAGACTCATATTCTGGCACCTCTGGGAAGTCCTGGAGCAGATACCAAAGGAGAACTCTTCTGCCTAGTTCAAGGTCATTGTTTCCAATAGGATCCTGATGAAGGTATTTAGGACTACATTGATAGAAGAGTCAGATATTTGTCACTTCAGTTTTCATCTGCAAATATCTAGAGCCCCATTTTTATAACTGTTTTCTGATATAATAGGCTATAATGGACTTGACTGTGGCTTGACTCTGGAATTCAAGGAGCCCAGAATTTAGAGACAAAAAATGTGGATGGACTATTGTGTGCAAAGTATAAGAATGAGGTCAGCAAGTGCATTTTACTCTTCTAAGAAGTAGATGGGACTCAGGAGAAGGATGTTGTATGGGGGAGCAGGCTGCAGAATATTTGAATCATGTCATCAATTCTGCCCTTGCCAGGGCTAAGAGTGAAGATGGAATGGGTTTGGCATAAAGGACAAAGGAAAGTCTTGAGTCAGGTTTGTTGTGGTTTTTGGGTGTGTGTGTGTGTGGGGGGGTTGTTTTTGTTGTTTTGTTTTTTCAAGACAGAGTTTCTCTATGTAACAGTCCTGGCTGTCCTGGAACTCAATTCTAGACCAGGCTGACCTCAAATTCACCTGTCTGTGCCTCCCGAGTGCTGAGATTAAGTTCTGTGCCACCACCACCTGACTATGATACAGATTTACTTCCTTCTAATGCAGTGGTTCTCAACCTGAGGGTAGGGACCCCTTTGGGGGTCAAATGACCCATTTACAGGGGTCACCTAAGACCTTAGAAAACACAGATATTTACATTATAATTCATAACAGTAGCAAAATTATAGTTATGAAATAGCAAAGAAAATAATTTTATGGCTAAGGGTCACCACAACATGAGGAAGTGTATTAGGGAGGTTGAGAATCTGTGTTCTAGTTGCTTAATATGCAAAAAGAATGGAAAGCTAGGTCACTTCTTTCTTTTTGGGGGGGGGGTGTTGGTTTTGTGAGACGGGGTTTCTCTGTAGCTTTGGAGCCTGTCCTGGAACTTGCTCTGTAGACCAGGCTGACCTCAAACTCACAGAGATCCACCTGCCCCCGCCTCCCAAATGCTGGTATTAAAGGTGTGTGCTACCACCACCAAGCTTATATTTGACTTTTACTCACCAGCACAAACCAACCAGACCTCTAACTACTCCTGTGGCAGCCTGCATGACAGCATCCTGGAACCTGGAGCCATCTATCCATACTGAAGCCCATGTCTGCTAGAGTTCAGCCTATCTAGGGTGCAGGTGAAATTTGAGGCCAGTGTTTTGTGCCCATTAAAGGACTGCTAGGACTATCTTGGTGAACTTGTGGCCAGTCCAACCATCCATGCTTCACATCCCTGTTATCCTTGGTCACCGTCCAAGATCAATGTATGGAGATGAGATGTGGTCTGATGGACTGTATGACAAAGTACCTCCTCAGAATGTCCACAGTGATGAATCTGGCCTGAGGATAACAAAAGATGATCTTTCTGCAAGCCAGAATGCCCACAGTGATGAATCTGACCTGAGGATAGCAAGAGATGGTCTTTCTGCAAGCCGACAGTGTGAGTACAGGGATGTAAAAGATGATTGTAGAAGAAAATGTTCCTCTTCCAATTATTCAAGACAGTGGACTCCCCATAAAGGGACTTCTCATTTTTTCAGAAAATCAAGTGTAGGTCAGAAGAACTCCCTGAATAGCGGATCTGGATTCAGTGGAGGGCATTCCCCAAAACGAAGCAGATGGTGTTCTTTCCCTTTGTCAGAGCTTAGGCAGTCCAGGCATGCTTACGTCTCCTACAAATGGCACATAGAAGAAAAGCCAGAAGGAGGTCAAAAGAGACCTAGCCAGTCTTTGAAAACATTAAAAGACACACACCCATCAAGTTCTTCAGTTCCTTCATCAGAAATTTTAAACAAATTCAACAAGTTTGATGAAAAGGGTCTTCCTGAAGCTAACAGCAGGCAGGCAGTAGAAAAACTCAGGGTAGCAGATGAAAGTGACTTACCTAAAATTTCTGAGTTTGAAGTTGGACTCACAGAACCATTACTTATGGATCAGCCACAGGAACCTGAGTCAAACAGAAGAGAAGGCACAGAATTAGTTGATGACCAACTTACTAATCGCCTTAAAGCAATAGCATCAAAAACCCGGGAAATTGAACAGACATACCATCAAGACTGTGAAACCTTTGGGATGGTGGTGAAAATGCTGGTTGAAAAAGATCCTTCATTAGAAACGTCCATTCAGTTTGCACTTAGGCAGAATTTGCATGAAATAAGTGAGCGGTGTGTGAAAGAGCTCAGGCAGTTCATTGCAGAGTATGATGCTTCTTAAGAATTGGTGCTCTAGTAAAAAAGTGGCCCTTGATTGCTATTCCAGAATTGTGTAAATATTTCAAATACAAAATATTTGTGATGAAAGGAAATACTCCAGTGTCAAATAAAATCTAAAATGGTCACTTTAAAATAATCTGTTCAGAAATCTATTTCACCTATAGGGCCTTCTAATTCATACACACTCCAGTTTTCAGTGTGTGTCTTAGGCTACTGGGGAGCAACTTTCTGCTCTTACTCATGTTCTGTCTTCCAAGTACAAGAATGTGTGGCCCAGGTGTACTTTATAGAGGTTGAACTTCATAGTAAATGATAGTATGTGAAAATGTTAGCATTTTTGAGTTGTTGTCTTTATTGACTTTTTCTTAGGCTTTGTTTCTTGTATTAAAATTATCCTACATTAAAGTTTATTATTTTAAGGAACTGGTACTTTGGTATCTTTAGAATAAAACTCTGTTGTCCAGGCTAATCTCAAACTCAGAGATCCTGCTGCCTCCGCCTCCCAAGCTTTAGGATTAAAGATGTGCAAAGCTGCCATCATACTAGGCTTTATGTTTTGTTTTCTTTCTAGCTTTCTGAGTTGTTGAACAACTGCTAGGTATGGTACAGAATAGGTCATCAAATATTTGCCACAGAGACAACAGATGGTAGACTTAGCCTGATGGCTTTCTCAGCCTGCCCTTGTCTTGCCCAATACAATTTCAAGGCAATCCAAGTTTAGACAAGTCAGCATCTAAAGGAGCATGCTACCTTTATCCTACTGACCTCTGACCTTCTCCAGAAAATCATTTTGGAATTGGAAAAATACAAGGTTTTAGACAGTAACTGGAAATGCTTCTGTCTTATTAATGGAAGAGTCAGTTTCTGTCTAACATTCTGTTCTTACTGCCATCTCTGACCTTTTCCTCACTTAATCTGGGCACATTAATATTTATTTAGTAGTCATGAGAGATAGGTGGACACTGAAGTAAGTGTTCTGCCAGTGTTGAAGGTTGTATCCTAGACTAGGCCTCCCTTCTCTTTTGATTTCATATGTTCTCTGTAACATGCTCACCCTAACATCTAACAGAGTTCATGTTCCAGATAGTGTCAGATCTGTTATGATAAAGCATGAGAGGAAACTTGGTTGGTTCCATGGCAGGTGAGGATGACCGAGGTAGGGGACAAACATGCCAGGCAGACAGGGTTTAAGTGAGAAGTTTTATTAGAAAGGGGAAGGGGGGTGAGGAAAGAGACAATAGAGATAGAGGACTGAAGAGAAGAGGGAGACAGGATAAGTCCTGTCTTCCCTAGGGGAACAGTTAGAAAGAGAGGGGAAAGAGAGCCTAAGTGGGTTGGGGCAGGGGAGGGGGGGTCTTTCTTTTAGAGGGGTTCTTCGTACTTGCCTCCTGGACTGACCAGAGTACTGCCTGAGTGCATTCTTCCAGATGACAAGGACAGGTCAGCATAATTTAGTTTTCATTTAAGCAAGGTAGGGGCAGGCTTAAATGGTCACAATCTGTGTAGACAAAGCTGTCCTTGAAAGAGCAGCAGTCCTCTTGCCTCAGCTTCCCAGGACTAGTATTGCAGAAGTGAACCACCATACTCCAGTTTTCAGGGGCTTGCAAGATAGCTCAGCTGGTAAAATTGCTTGGCCAGCAGGCCTGGGCAACTTTGCTCAGCCTCAGAAACCACATAAAGTGGAAAGAACAGACTCCACAAAGTTGTTTTCTGACCACTGCCCATGTGCCATACCACATCAAGTACAATCAATAGTGATTGTTTTAAAATAAGTCCAGCTTTCAGAAGGGAATTTGATGAGCCAAGAGGAACAGATAAGCTCCTGATCTGGAGATAAAATGAACACTCTGCTCATGTCCACAAATAAAGTAAGTAGGGAAAATGGATGGGTGGTTAGGGAGATGTCATTAATTCCACTGAGTGAGGGAGGATAAGACCACTATCACAATTTTGGCCAAATTTGATGGAAGCTTTAATTAAATACTGCTCCTGATGATGAACTCTGACCAGGTCTACTCTGGTGTTCCCCAGAGAATAGTGACAAATCAGTTGGCAAAGGCTTATAAGGCAAAAACCCTAAGACTATGTATTTCCCATTAGGGACAGGCATCTATCCTGGTGTATTTCTTGCCTGTGCACTTCTGCCTACATTTAGTCAGGCAAGCATATGTCTTGCCTTGTATCTCCTGCCTACATGTGATCAAGCACATGTAGTCACAGTTGAGCCAAACAAACTTGTTTAGAGGGAAAACATTTGCGTTTTTATCTTAAATAAGTAGCCTCCAGAATTTCAGGAAGTATCTTTACTCAGGCAAGTGAGTTTACTGCTTAGAGACAGTTTTGTTTTATGGATCTCTTAGACATAGTAATTAAAACTTATAACTTTGGCTCTTGAAATATTACTAATTGAGAAAGTAATAGTGGATTTCCTACATAGGCAACTGACAAAGGAAACTAATACTATCAGTGCCACAGCCCTGAGATGGTAAGTAGCCCTCCAAATAACTAAGTAGGTAGGTGAGGACTAGCCCAAACAACATCAAGATGTATAGATAAATTCATTGATCTCAGGTTCTTCAGTAGCAAAGCATCACTGGGGAGATTGTGTATATCCTAGTATCCCCTTTCATTCACAGATTTTCAGATAACTGTACTTCACCAGTTAATTATGGCTTGAAAATATAGGGAAAAAAATCATACTGAAATAGGCATAGTGGTGCTGCTACCTCTAGTAGCAGCAGCCAGAACTGGTGAGTTCAAGCCTGGCCTTGGTTGCAGTAAGAGACCTGTCACAAAACAAAAAATGTTGTGGCGCAAGTAATCAGGAACTATTCTAAACCTTTGTGGTCTCTGTCCTCAGGTTATCCCAAGTGTTTAACACAGGATATACAAACTTGCTTCTGTTTCCTTCTGTAGCTCTCCATTCTTTAAAAAAAAAAAAAAAAAAAAAAAAAAAAAGGAAACTGGACCTAGAAAGATGTGTGAAAGACCTAGGCTGATAGCAAACCAAGATAGAGAAACTTAATAACAGAACCCCAAAGTTGACCATTTCAAGGCCAGTTAGCCTAGAAACAACTATTCACACAGCTTTCAAGTATCAAGGCATAACATTAAGGGCAGAAGCTGAGAACTTAAGAGACTGAAAGGAAGGAACTGGCTCACCTGCCCTAGACAACCAGTAAGGGCCACATTATAAGAGTAGACCCTGTTGTCCAGCTTCACATCTTCTGGTTGTTTTGTTTTTTTGTTTTTCAAGATAAGGTTTCTTTTTTTGCCTTGGCTGTCCTAGAACTAGCTCTGTAGACCAGAGAGATCCACGCTTCTATTTCCTGGGTGCTAGGACCACCAGCTCACTTTTTTTTTTAAGTCAGAAATCTGGATTTGTGTGAAACCATGCAGGTTTTAATGTTACCAAATCGACTGTGTGAGACAGGGAATCATGTAGCCCTGGATGGCCTTGAATGTAATGTGTATTGAGAATCACTTGAACTCCTGATTCTCCAGCTGCTCACACCTAGGATGTGAGCATGGTGGTGTACACCTTTAATCCCAGAACGAAGAGGCAGGTGGATCTATGAATTCTAGGCTAGACTGGTCTACATAGTGAATTTCTGGATAGCCATGGCTACATTGAGGGAAAAAAAAAATCTGTCTCAATCAAAACAGAAAGAGTTGGGGCTGCATACTGAGATCCTGTTGTACAAAAAGTAAGAACCAGAGAAGAAAGGACATCCTAAGAAAGCCAGCCTGCTACAGACCAGATGTTGCTTCAGCAGGTTGATAGCTATTGACAAATGCTAGTATAGGGCAGGGGATGAATGCCACTTGGTAATAATGCTTTGTCATTGTGAGGACCTCTGATGGGGAATGTTCTTCTGTATATGTTTCTCTTACTGGTTAATGAATAAAACACTGATTGGCCAGACAGCAATTGATGTAGCTGGGCAGAAACTTGCCATTAACTAACCATAGAGGTCTGGAGGTCTGTACAGACAGGCAGGAAGTGACATATCTGGGTGGAATCAGTATATCAGCAGGGACAAACAGGAAATTGCTCTCTTCTCTGCAGAGACGCTGAGCAGGTATAGGAGTTTCAGGTGCTAGTGGAAAGATTTCCCTGTGCCCCACCTCCCCTCAAGTCTTCAGGGCATTCATGGTAAAAGACAGATAGAGGAGGAGGTAGCCAAACTGACCCCCCTCCCCCCCCACGAGTTTCTCTATGTAGCCCTGGCTGTCCTGGAACTCAGTTTGTAAATCAGGCTGACCTTGAACTCAAGATCCTTCTGCCTCTGCCTCCCAAGTGAAAACCTTTCATCCCCCATCCTTACTACCCAGCCCAAACTTCTTCTGAGGAGGCTCCATTGAGAAACAGCTCACAGAAGTTCCTGCTCCCCAGCTGGCCACATTTGCAGAACACAGCTGTAAATAGCCTCAGGCATAGGGGCTTCTCAAAGAGGTCTTTTATACATTTCCAGGGTAGCAGGGTATGTTCACTAAAGCTATAACCTCCAAGTTAATGACTTGAGTGTCACTAGATTTTATCGCTTTTCTAAAAGCACTGCTTTTTTCACCGTGGAAATAACCCCAGTTCATACTGATAGGAGGGGCAGAGCCTGAACTGAGGAATGCCTTTTACTCTTTGTAGTTTCCAGGGTTGGTTGTCTGTGGCAAAATCTTACTATGTAGCCTAGGTTTTCCTTGAACTTGGGATTCTTCTGCCTTTCCCTCTGGGTGCTAGATTACAGATACATACACTACTCAACTACTTTTCCCCCCATCTACTTTTAAGGCATGGTGGTGCTTACCTGTAACCCTGGCACTGAGAAGGGTGAGGCAATTGGATGTCTGCCAGTTTGGGGCCAGCCTAAGCTACATAGCAAATCCTAGAAAACAGACAAAATACAAATAAACAGTTCATACACTGTTTGTTTTCACACAGGGTTTCTCTTTGTAGCCCTGGCTAGCCTGGAACTCAATTACTTGGCTGGTCTTGAATACCCAGAATTCTTTTGGGGATAGCCTACTGGCATTTGCCACTACAACTGGTTCCTGAAGCTTCTTATTTGCCAGAAATTTTATGAGACCGTTACTGAGCCCATCTTTATGTAGTATGACAATTATCAAGTATAATTTTAGTATCTTGTGGTTTCTTTGCTCTCATGAAAAAAAAATCTTAAAAGAGTTCTAGTAGGCAAGCCAATTTTGTTTGCTTATTTTTTGGCTTATCTGTGTATATTCCTGGTTGACTTGGAACTGTAGAGTAGACTGGCCTGGAACTCAGAGTTCTTCTTGCATCTGCTTTCTGAATGCTGGGATTAAAGGCAAGAGCCGCCACCACCAAGCCAGGTTTTTGTTGGTTGGTTGTTTTCTATTTATTTATTTATTTATTTATTTAGTTTTGGTTTTTTGACACAGGGTTTCTC